CTCTCTTTGACTGAATTGATGTTTTAAGATAATTTCTTCTCCATTTTCCAACAGAAGTCATCTTCTGTCATTGACATTCTCCCAAAAAGAAAAATTTCTTTAAAAACAACCTGTCTTCTGTCCAAAATCCAATACACACCACAGTATCCAAAGTAGTTTAACATCTTTGTCTTCACGGATGCAAACTTACTTTAACTATTCATAACAATATATGTGGATAGGTGCATCTTTTTGTGCTTTCTTTTCCCTGAAACATGAGTTGTTTTGACTTCTCGTCAATTTTACAAAACTGACAATACCATAATATGACTGACAATATGGTTGTTACTTAGAAAAGTTGTTGGGTGTAATAGCTGCCTTCTGTTTCTCAAAAGACAGGGAGATGGCTGCTGTTGGATGCAGCTGATAAATCTGAGCWACACACTTTGTAGAAAGTATCTTGAGACTGTGAAGTCAGACAGACTGGAGGACTTCTTTTATGTACTTTGACTACAGGGTTGTACACTGAAAGTGCACAAAATACCTTCTTCTGCCACTGAATTTAAATCTGGCCTGAAAGGGAAGTGTGCTGGGTGATACCTCAGCTAGAAAACAGTGTTGGAAGATGCAGGACCCTCATATTTTCACATTCTTTAAAGAGAAATGGGACTTGSATTTGCTTTTCTGGGTTTTGGTCTGTGCACAGTTGGATTGCTAGACTCCATATTTTGGACATCAGTGGTAATTTTTAAGGTATTTATTTATCTTGTACTATGGTGGCTGTATGGTCCTTCAGCCAAAAGTTTGTCTGCAGGTGTATTGTTCAGACATGCAAAATGTGCGAGAAGTCTTAAACAGAAAATTGCCTAGTAGACTTTTAGCATTTTTACAGTGCTTTATTGCTCTTTGATCAGATGATATTTCTGAAATATTTTTAAAATGTCACAGTTTCTTTAAGTATAGAAATGAAGTTTCTGTCTGAATCACTGACATTTTTTATTACTAATTTTTCTTATGCTCCAATTGAGAAAAGTTAGAATGAATGCTGGATTATTTTTCTTCTCTGTATTTGTGTCTCAGTTTTTGCTGAAATGGCTATTCAGATACTGGATTTTATTAATTGCAAAGTCTTCAAAGATMATATATGACTAGGTGAAATAGTTCTCTAGATTAACAGAGGCTGTGCATTTSCATGAGAAAAAGTAGGAATGGCCTATGGTATCCTGAGGTGCAAGCAGAGCTATTTTGCTTGTCCTTAGAAGCAGAGATGTGGAGTCCAGGGGTTAAAACTATTCTGCAGATGGAGATGCTCTGAAATAAGCAGAACAAAACTGGGAAGAAAGGTAGTAATTTCTTGCTTTAGACTGTTCTCTTTCCTGACTCCACCTCATTCCCTCAGGAGTGGGAAGGAAACAGCAGAGGAGTTCAGATGAGTGACTCATGAGAAGTATTCTAGAAGTATTGTAACTTATATTTGTGGTGATGCTGAACACTCATCTCTGTCTGTATGTGATAAAATCAGCTTACACTGAGACATGCCTATTTACTTAGAGCTGTAGCTATTATAAGCAATCTTTGTCTTCTGAAGAAATCCACAATATTTGCCTTGCAGAGTTGATATATGACTTATGTAGTTCAAWTTTTTTTTATTTTTATTGGGACCTCACCAAACAATTTGCTTTCCTAGATAATATTAATTATACAAAATATTAAATGAAATCAGTTGAATTAGCCTCAGCCCAGAAAAAAAACTTGGTAAATGCAGTTGGCAAGAGAGAAATACTTATTTGGGTAGATTCTTTGATATTGAATGTCCTTTGGTGAGATTTTCGATGTCATCAGCACTACTGCTACAGTCTTCTGCTCATTTGTTCCCAGAGAAGAGGGCAGATCTATAGAAAAGGTTGCTATTTTTAACTGCTTCAGAGTTCATGTTTTTTCTGTTTGGTATAGATGGCTGACATCTGTGTTTTAACCTGCAGGTTRCATTCTTGTAATATACTCTCTTTATGTGCACCCATGAATGACTCTTGGAACTTGAGTTACTTAAAGACAAGTATAGTTCAATATCAATGCCCTTTTTTTTTTTTCTTACAGCTATCATGTCAACACAAAAGCTTTTATTTTTGCAAAAATGCATATCATCATTGCACTCCTTAAGAYTGATAGTCAAATATGGAGATCTTACTTTGCTAACAGATCTTATGGAGGGTATCGGATCACCACTCACTTCACCACATGAAGCCCTTGTACACAGAGCATTCTTTTTTTAATTAGGCCATTGTTGAGTCTGCTTTTCTACTGCTCATTTCATAAGCTTTCTTATTGGAAATACATGACATTTAGAAAAGATGGATGATGATGACCTGCTGTCTTCAGTTATTTTAAGTTTGATGAATATAAACTGTTTGATATGCAATGTTCTTCATACCTTTGCAAAGATCAGTTATGATTCTTAAATTAGTTTGAGGAACAGAAACTTAGATAAATCATCTTGATTTTACTCTGCTTTCATTTTCTGTTACTATTAACTCTTCTCCTGCACAGAAAGTTGTTAGTCTAGATAAGCTGCTGATAAATTAAAACCTTAGTTTAGCTCCCCACAGTACAATTGTGAACAGCTTTCGGTGTTTAGAACACCTGTTAGGTAACATTAGAAGCTGCATTTTGCACACCAGAAGATACTTTGGATGGTTTTTTGAAGTTGAAAGACGAGGGGATTAGAGATGGTGTTTGCATTGAGGGGAAGGGACAAGTTTAGGTTGAAGGGGATAGGAAGGAGAAATACCAGTTAATTGTGAGCAAAAMTTCAATATCTAGAACTGGATTTTCCTTTGGTTATGGAAGCAATTGCACACAAGCAGTCCTATCATGAGTAGGGTGTTTTTGCTTACTTACATGGTTTAGATTGCTATCGAAATCARTATAATATTGACTCAGTTGTGTTGGTTCTCTTTCTAATGCAAAATGTGACGTAGTGGCTTTTAACTCTCTGCAGTAATGTCACTATTCCAAAATGTACAATGCTAGGCAAGATATAATACATTAACTTGCTTTTGGAAATAGTTTATATTAATTGTATTATAATTAGAGCCAAGATCTCTGGAATAATTATCAGAGTAGATTTCAAAGTTAATTTTCACAGTTAACTGAGTGTGAAGACACGTACTTTTTTAAGGTAACTATTGAATTTCTAGCCAACTTTGGAGCATTAATTCCAAAGGTAAAAAATGGACTGTGATCAGATAATTTGAATTAAATTAGGCATTATTTCTATCTAGCAATGTGTCCATTTGGTAATTCCTAAGAAAGCATATGGAACCCTTGGCATTTGCTTACTGTATAAAAKGTACTGAGTCTCCAAAAGTGTTCATTTACACTGAACATATGGGCTTAGCTTGAAAACCATTATCTAGCAAGTGTGTATCATATGAAACTTGAGTATGAATTTTGTCAGTATTTTGCTTTTACACATAAAATATGATTTTTATATATTTTTAATGTATGTTTAGTTATGCAAATAAGCTACAGTGTCTGTTCCTTAGGGCATTTTTCACAAATAGAAAAGCTGGTTTTTATGTTGGGGTTGCTGTGTTCCATAGCAGACAGTAGGGTGTTGCAGTAGCTTTGAGGATGTCCATGGTTTAATTAAAACTGGCTCTGCTGTGGCCAAGAASAGCACGAGTTGTCATATGTATTCATGTGAATCTGTGTTGTTGCTTTTTAATAAATAGCTGAAATGCTAGAACAAAGCAGTGTGGTTTACAAATCATTGGTTTTTTTGTAATTAAGTCTGAAAGTATGATATTTCAAAACAACTAGACTCTATGTAATGGACCGAATATATTTATAAAGATATTTGTTAGTCTTGAGAAGTTTTAATCTGTAATTTCATGGCGAATCAGAAACTGGTGCTGTATTCTGCCGGGCCAGGGCTCTTGAGGTCAAGGAGCCCTTGGCCAAGRTACTCTTTTGCACTTAGAAAAGCTTTCACCTGCATGAAGTGTCAGGGACAGAGGGAGGTGTTAAAGCAATTTATCATGTTGCAATGAAGCTATTGTAGACATTTTTGCAAAAGAGTTCATCTGAGCTTTTCCTGCCTGTGGCCCCCAAAGGTGGGAATTCAGTATGTCTATTTATGTCCAGACCATTTACACACCATTTAAACTGGCTTTCTCTCTGCCTGGATTCCTATGTGAAAGCCGAGTGCAATACTTTATTGAAGAGCTATAAATTTGCTCACCATTGAGAAATTCTGCTCTTAGCAGCCACTGAAGGACATCAGAATTGCCTTCATGCTGCACAGCAGGAGCAAAAACCCTCCCTCTGTTCCTCTAACACTGAAGCTTATCCAGCAACTTTTGACAGAAGCCATTTACATAATACTCCCACGAGCCAGCACCATTTAGGCAGATTCAAGCTGAAGTATTTATTCAGCAAGTTGTAGGGCTTTATATTATACTTCATTGTTGTGGTATATTTTAATAATATTGTATTTAAATTATACTTGATGTAAAGTTTTTCAAGCTGAGATTGTGTTTGTCAGTACTAATTGCAAAAAAAAACCCCATGGGTTTGGTCATTAATAGCTGGCTTTTTAATGGTCATCCTATTGCTTTAAGATTTTAGTTTTCATTTAATTTTCAGAGGATTTATGTGGGGCATTTGTTGTCTTCAGTGAGTTAAGCAAGGACTGTTTTGCTGCTCTGACCAGTGCCATATGAAAATAGTTAACGTGCTGGAATTGTTTACTGCCTAAAGTGTAGTTCGTCAGCAGAGCCAGTACACCACATTTCTTTGCGGCTTTTAGTGGAAAATATTAGACAGTCGCTCTTTCTTCAGTTATAGAATTTTTACGTTTTCAGCTGCCTTAGTCACCGAGCTGGCGCAGACTGCAAAGACTGCCCCCAAAACAAGAAAAAGGCGCTTTTTTTTTTTTTTTTTTTTTTTTTTTTTGTGCCAGAGGAAGTTACCCTGGGAGCGGTGGCTGGGTTCTCTGCTAAGTGTGACATGTGAGCATTACTAGGCATTTCACCCTGCCAGGCTGCAGTCGCTGCTCGCCAGGCTGCCGCTCAGGGGGAGCGCTGCCGTGGCAGTGGTTTGTGCGCTGCTCCTGCCGACTCGGACAGCCCAGCTACTTTTTGAGCTTTACAAGGCTATTTGCTGWTTGTATAATTTAATTTGTCAAGGAAAAAAAAACTGATAAGCAGAAGCTCTAAMTGAAGAGGAGAATCAGGTTGGCGCAGTGACAGATGTTCGGATAAAGAAGTTGGCTCAGAGAAGATGTACAGAGTCTGACTTTTTTTTCATTTTTTTCCTCCCCCTCAATCTGAATGAGGACTATCATGGGGACTGCATTCACATGGTGATCAAAAGAARCACTTGAGTGATGAACTGCTTTTACAGAAGTCGTCTAAGGCAGTAATTTGAGCTTTTGTGTGCAGTAGCTAGCTTGTTTTGCTGAAGCATTCCTCCTCGACAGTATTACTGCACCTATTCCCTGATGGAGAAGCCGCAGCTACTGCCTGGTGAAGGAAAAATGAACGCTCYGCATTGCTCGTGTCCCTGACGGAGTAACACCGGCTGCGTTGCTGTCGTTTGGGGAGGCTGSATTCAGCCGGCAATATTATTCAAGGAGTTCATTGTCCCTGTGCTCTGACTCATCGCATGTAAATGTGTTGCAGCCGTGCTGCACGTTGCAGCTATTTTCTTGCATGGGAAAGAATTCTTTTCTTCTGAGCAGGTCCTGAATAACTGCTGGAGCCGAGATGCRTTTTTCTGTCTGGACTGTTTCTGACATTGAGAAAGGAAGCTGTAGAATGGCAGGATGATCGGGARGCGCGTTTATTTTCAGGCACCAGAAAGCCTGTGAGGGGTGATTTAAACTGACCTTGCAGTGGGAATAGCTGCGGCCGTCTCTCTCGGGGCAATTGTTCCTTGTTCTGTCCTCTGCAGGACAGAGTCGTGTCTTCTGCAACAATGATTTCACTGTGGGGGTAGAAGGACGCTGTGGAAGTTGTGACAGTAACAAAGACAAATTTGCTCGTGAAAGGACAGCTGGGTGYGACAGTGAGTGCTGTTCGAATGGAACTGGATCTTGGGATATTTTTATCAGCTGTCCCACAGTTTTGTTATTGTGGTTTCGATGSTTAGGGACTTTTTATTTTATAAAGAGCAACTTTTTTTTCAGCAGTGTGTTGAACATCTTGGGATGTGTAAGTCTGAATAATGAAGTGTGAGGGGCGATTGGAATGTTACTTTCTAAATGCTAACACACCAACAGTAGCACTCACAAGTTTGTGAGGGCATGTGGAACAGGTGAAGATATTTCCTCTATGGTCCCTATTGTGATACCTGCGGTCTGCTTCCAAAAATACCATTGCTGGCATTTTTTTGTTTGCTTTTGCTTCCTCAAACGGATCGAATGAGTCGAGTCTGTATTGTTGTTTTGGAGGAGGAGGAAGATGATTCTCCTACTTTTATTTCCAATTTACCTCAGGAAAATGTATCCTTACGTCCATTGCCGTCTGGAAATGTGCTGGTAAGGCATGTTGTTTGTTGGCATATTTCCTGCTTATAATGCTGTTTCAAATACCAGTAGCTATATTCCTAAGATTAGAATGAAGATGTACAATGTTGAAACAAGACAAGATAATAAAACCTAATGTAATGTAGTAAAGATGGAAAAGCTGAAACTTAGTGGCAGAATTTACCCTTGCAAAGGTCCATTCTTTTTCATGTAACCTTTTTTTATGGTGCAGCAAGAATAGGTCTTGATTCTTGTATAAGAGCAGTGGGGTTTTAGAAGGTGTGGGGAAGTGTATTTGAAGTAAATGGGTTTTCCCTGCTCCACTTTTCACTCTTCAGTGGTACATTTATGCAGTACCACTTTAGAAGCTGATGTGATCATTGTGTTATAATAATATGCTGTGTTTATTTTGAGAACTGATAGTTATATCAAGCAAGAGCAATTTTAAACTAAAATAAAAATTAACATAAGTCACAATCTTACTATAACTRTTAGGTTAAAGTTAGCACTTTCTGGAAGTGATGTGGACTGTGCTTTTGTTGCTGTAAATTATTTTATTTTGTCAAGTGACTGACTTAAATCTTGCTGGCATACCACAGCAGCTTTYCTTACTTACTAAGAAATCCTGCTATATTTAGTAATAGATGTGTGTGAGTGTGAATTTGTTACCATACTTATCTAATGCACTTTGATTTCCCACTCTATCTAGACAGGTGAAAGACTTCCAGTAACTTGAGTCACTTGCTAATGTAAAAGGGGATTGTTTGCTTATACYGTATAGAATTTGCAGCATGTAATGACAACCCTAATTTTATTATAAGGCATTCTCTTTTCAGTTATTACAAGCTTGTCTTCTCAGCTCTGTTTTTTTCCTTTCATATGTATTTTTTATTGACTTAGAGTATGTCTGTGTGTTTGAGGTTTTTAAAACTTGGAAATTCTTTGATTCTAAATACTGATGCTGGTTTCTTTATTTTACTGCCTGGAATGGTCTTTTTTTTGTCATTACCTTGTGTTTGTGTTACGTATTATCATATGTATGTATCACTAAAACCTAAAATGGGATTTTATTTTAAGATGTGTTTTTTGTTTATTTCAGCCACCATTGGTTCAAGCTATATTTAATGGAGATCCTGATGAAGTTCGAGCACTAATATTTAAGAAAGAAGATGTTAATTTTCAGGTAAAATCAAACATAATTAGCTTTGAATCTATTTTAATTTTGCTTGTTATATCTTTCTGCTGTACTCATCTCTTTAAAACTGTGATAATTCTTAAGCTGTACCTTTTATATACTAGACTAAGTAAAGCCTATACATACACTTAATGCTGGGAATCAAGGAGTGTAGCTTTGCAGATTTGTGTGAGTAGTAAAGACCTAATTTTATGTGGATGTTAGTTCTACAGTGCTTGGTAACTGTGAAGTTTGTTTATACAGTTGCATCAAACTAATTTACRAGAAGCTAGAGTGTGATGCTGTGTAGACTTAGATTCTTTTTAAATTAAATATAACATGTAGTATACATTACACATTTACAAGAATATGGTCTGTGGTTTCAGTAGTACATTTAATAGGAGATTTTTAAAAGGGAGGCCTAATGATTATATTAGTAAGAATTGAGAAAGTGGGTTTATATTTTTGTGTTGCTGCAAACTGAGGCACTGCAGTCATAAAAATTATACTGAAATGGTACTAAGTTTGTTCCATTGGGTGAAATTCCAGATTTGAACAGCATGCAGTTACTGTATTTCTATTAAAATTCTAATATGCCTGTTTGACACTATGAAAGGTAATATAGCATAAACTCCTTACATGGATTAGAAATTGCTTTGATTATTACAGCAGACTGACACAAACCATTTAGAGCTCATGCTACAGGAATGTACATATCCATTTCTCCTCCAAATGCATCAGAGCAAGTGTGATGCTAAAAGGCAAAGGCTAAGATCTAGTTGCTACCTAGGGGCCCATTTAAGACCATGATAATTGTTTACACTTTCTTCTGGGGAGATGTAAACCAAAAGCAAATATTTAGTTTGGTGTGTCTCTTTTGACATTTAAAAGCATTCTGCAGAATTTACAGCTGAGAAATGCCAGCTGAAAAGTCCCAGTGTAAGGAAGCCCTCCTGTTGTCTTGAAGAGCTTGAGTAGGACCCTATATAAACAAACTTTCTGCCAAATGTGAAGCTTTGTTTGATAAGGCCTGGACTACTTTTCCTCTTTCAGTAGCTCATATTTCCTAAAGCAGGATTATATGATGAATTATACCAAAAGATTTAACATTCTGTTTGGTTATGAGAGGATTAGCTTTCTATCCTTCCAATGCCTGCATCTGTATGCTCTGGTCTCATTGCCACTTTTATTTTTAAAGATTATTAGATTGTATTGTTACTTTGTATTCATCCATGTGTTAAAATCGGGTTTAGCATTCATAGCTGTAGAGCTTGTGAACAAAGTTAGGTTTACTATCTTTCTCCCTTTTTTTGSTTATGAATTACCAAAGCCTTTGCTATATTTCAGTATATATGTGGTTGTGGTTTGGTATTGGATTTTGTTCTTCCTCAAGTTTTGTCAAAGAGTTGCAAATAAACAGGAAGATAGGAAGAAGTCAACCGATGTGCTTGAATAGGAAAGCTCATGATTTTTTGCTGTCTTTGAAGAGAATTACTTCAGATTGCAAGGTACTTTTATTGTAGTTAGACTAGTCGAAATCTGGAGGTTTTTACATTTTATGTCTTAATTTGTTTTTTTTTTTTACTTGTTTCTGTACGTATAGCTCCCTTGAATAGAACATGTGCACATCTTAGCCTTGTAACAAGGTGTGGTTAGAGGCCATGCAGGGCAAAGATGCCATTTTTTCCCAAACACCTTCTTCAGCAAAGGGAGGTGCTTATCACACGTGATCACTGTTTCTTATATGGCAGTCCTAGTCCTACTACAGTATTTGATATTAGATTCATATCCCTTAAATCCTCTTGGGACTAAATGAACACGTAAGTTCTCCCATTATGTGGTGGAAATGAAATAGACTGCCTTGTGCATTTTTTTTGTGTGTCTGTCTGTATGCATTTTGTTTGTTTCCTTGGGTTTTTTGTTGAAGATTTCCTTGGCTGGAGGTAACATATCTATACATAAGTCTAGATCTAGAGTTGCTCCTTGAGTTATGTGTTACGAATGTGTTACAATGGACAGAAGGAGGGGAAAAGTGAAGAAAAATAGGTAGTTATTTATATTCATAAAACCCAGAAGGATTGGGATAAAGTGTTTTGACAGTTTTAGATTGTATTATACCAGTATATMCACTGCATTTTTTCCATTTCGCTATCCAAGTGTTTCAGTAAGTTATTTGAATTCCAGAGTCATTCCCTCCAATGCCTCTTCAGAGTMATTTCCCCCTCTCAAGAGCAACTAATTATTTTGCAGTTTGTATTCTTAATAGTTGAGATTCCTTCCATCCTCCCTTCCCCTGTGCATGGGCTGGACTCTGTAACTGGAGACCCAGCAGCATTCCATGAATTAGTTTTGCCCAAAAGTGAACTGAAGACATAGCTGTTGTACATCTTTGTTGTGACATTGATATTCATCTAGGAAAGTTTTTTGTGATGAAACATGGGGTTTTTTTTCCTTCTGTTATATCCAGCTTCATTTACCTTCTTACTTTTGTGATATGTCATCATTGACATTAATCACAATTGGTTTAATGCTCTTTATAAAGTGAATTGAATCTGTRTATTTTGCTCTCCAAAGCTAGGCTGTGGAAACTGATGTTATGGTAATATCTACATACTGCTTTGAGTTTAGGCTGTATTAGAGCATTATTCCTAAAACAGATGATGGCTTCTGCCTTAGTGTAATACTTRGAGACATTCTGAAATAGGTGGTCTTTCATAGCATGAGTTGCTGTGTGAGATGACGTACAAATAGCAAAYGGGCTTTTTTCAGGAAGAAGATTGTTCTCTGTTCATGCCACACCAGCCTCTTGAGTCACAGGCCCAGTTTAGATTGAGAAAGTATATATTGTATTCTGTCTGCTGTTGTAATCTTTTGTGAAGAAAGAGCAAATTGAGTGTATCCCTAGCTGCTTAAACTGGGGTTCAAAAAGGCTTATCTTCTGTGCAAGCTGGAAATGTGCAGCTCTTTATAGACAAAACTGATTTATGGGACTTGGTTCAAATAAATTGTTTGGAAGGTGAACTTTTTTGAGGCTCCAGTTAATGGGAAAAACCCCAGAGGGGAGGGGGTTGCTTCTCTCTTCACTTTCCCCAAGAAAGCTTGAGTAACTGTAGCTGCTTGTTTCATGAACCAGGCTTAAATCACATGCATCACGTGTGTCAAACCATATAGAGTTTCTGACACAAGCATGGCTTTTGCTGTGCTCTGAGATTGTTTATTAAAAAAAATTATTATTATTTCTTGGTACCATCCTGAGCTTTTGAGACTTGACAGAAAGGAAAATGTTGCATGATAATGARCACATTTAATATCTGTTAGTTAATAGGGATCCTGAACATTTCCTGCTCTTGTTGATTAGATTAGTGTGGCTGGTTTGAATTCTGCATACTTTTCAGCAATTAGTTTTAGCTAACTGAATGATTTAAGCAGTGCATTTTATAAATGAGTATCAGCTTTTTTTTTTTAAGATTTGGGGACCTGTTACTGTTGTAAACTCTGCCATTTCTGTTTGTAATCAAAACTYGTATGTTCAGTTTAAAAGCTGATGAAAATGGAATATTTCACCTCAGCTATTAGTYAAGAATATAATTCTCTCAAGGGAATACCAGCTCACTGTAAAAAATTATTTAAAGGTTGCAAATCTGACTACTGAAGTAATTGTTCAAAATCAGAACAATTTTTCCTCCTCCTAGACCTATTAGGGTGGTATTTCTTGCAATGAAAATTGATATCTCAAGTAACTCAATATGCATTTTTTATAACCCCACTACGCTTGATCTTAGCCAAGGCGACAAACATCTGATCCTCTCTGGAACTGGTGYMAGTGTGCCCCTTGCTCTTCTCATGCTAAAGCCAAACAAGCTCTTTTCTTTGGAGGCTTCCCAAAATCACAYAGATCTCACAATGTTCAAAAGTACTCACTGTTCCCATTTAAAATAGTAATATTGACATATGTGACAAGGGACTTTAACATGAAGCAYCTGGATCTTACTGTATGTTGTGTTTTGTGAGATTAAAATAGGTTTAAACGGTGAAATGTTCTAAAGCTACTTTTTGTGTGAGTTGGTGTTCTATTTCAACATAAAAAGTAATAATGCAAAGTGAAATTCCTCATACAGTACCATTGCAACCATTGGTACCCTGTAGCAGTCAGGGTTCTCTGTATGATTTCTATTCTGAATTATTGGCTATCCAGCATAGCTCTCAATTTAATGATTTTTTTTTTCTGTGTTAAGTAACCACAAAGTAAAATAAAAGTTCACCTGTGCTACTATTTTGGGAAGAAGGGAAAAAAAACCAAAACCATAGAACCAAATTATCTTTTGTCTGCCCTCCCTAACCCACACCTGTATCAGAGAGCAATGAAATGTTGCCCATAAGTCCCAAGTTTTGCTGGTGGGATTGACAAGGGGTGTAAAGTGCTRGGTACAAACAGGAGGGCTAAGTTTGTGTCTGACTGGTATTTTGAGCAGTAGGGTATGACTGTTCCAGTAGAGATGTGGGCTCCTTTCCCTGTCCTGCCAAATGTGGGTTTGTATAGCTTCTTCTTTGTGTTTTTTTGTGTAGTAGGAGAATGCTGCTGGATGTTGTTCTAGGGTAAGACACAACATTAGTTTTTCTTATTCTACTGRTCACTGAATATACTGAAAGAGAAAGAAAACTGGCTTGTTAGTTTACTGACAAATGTAGGATTTTTTATGCAGCATCGGGTCTGGGTACCAGGAGAATTAGATTATTAAGTGTCTCAAATATATTAGTGATTKAAGAATGAATAATGAAAATTTAAGTACAGTTTAAAAGATAAGAAAGATTCTTTGTGATGATAGTATTGGTCAGCAAAGTCCAAAAAGAGATTAAATAGAAAAAAATAGGTAATGGATGTATGGTCAGTTGGCTTTCATCTTTAACTTCTTGTTTGAACTACTGGAGTAACAGGTGTTTTTCTGCGTACTTGAGAGTGCAGTGTAGAGCAGGAAAGCCTGAATTAMTTGGCTGCAGCATGGAACATT